CAAACATCCACACGCAAACAAACACACATCCACACGCTAACAAACAAACATCCACACGGCAAACAAACAAACATCCACACGCAAAAAAACAAACATCCACACGCAAACAAACAAACATCCACACGCAAACAACAAACATCCAACGCAAACAAACAAACAGACACACGCACATCGCCCTCTACCGCCCACAATTTCGCTTTAGAAAAATTGAAATTCGTTACCAATTAGACCCTCGCTATCGTTGATAAGGAGGAGGTCAGAAGGATTATCTTTTGATGTTAAGAAGTCGCAAATTTCTCTTGACAGCTTCGTGGAAATAAATTAGATGAGGCATATTTTTTTTTATCTAGAAATGTGCGTGATGAAAAGAGTGTGAGGTATATTTTTTAAGTAGTGGGATGGTGATAGTGATGATGGTGATGATGATGATGATTATGATAATGATGATGATGATGTTAATGATAATGATAATGATAATGATGATAAATGATGATGATGATAATGACAATGATGGTAACAGAATAACTAATATTATCCTGTGATAGATATCAATGCAGAAATCAAAACAGACACAGCAGTCTTGTTTTTTTTCCGTCTCTCTATTTTTTCTCCACAACTCCATATTGTCTTTTATTTTCTTTCTTTAAGGGAAAGCAATTATCTTATATTTCTCATTTCCCATTACTCTGTTCAAAAAAAAAAAAAAAATTATGAATGAGAAATATATATCCTCGCTATACAAGACATGCATTTAACCGAAGATCCATTCGAAACCGGGTGAAATACATCCTTGTATTTGATCAAAATATTTATTCTCATTCATGCCTTTTTCTACATTTGTCACTGAGTACGTTTTTTTTATTCCTCCTATTCCTTTTCCATTCATTTTTATTCATTCCTTTTCTACATTTGTCACACTGAATACGGTTAATTTTTCCTCCCTATTCCTTTTCCAATTCATTTTATTCATTTCTTTTCTACATTTGTCACACTGAATACGGTTAATTTTTTCCCTCTATTCCTTTTCCATTCATTTTTATTCATTCCTTTTCTACATTTGTCACACTGAGTACGTTTTTCATTCCTCCTATTCCTTTTCCATTCATTTTTATTCATACCTTTTCTACATTTGTCACACTGAGTACGTTTTTATTCCTCCTATTCCTTTTCATTCATTTCTTTTTACATTTGTCACACTGAATACAGTTAATTTTCCTCCTATTCCTTTTTCACATCCACCACAAACATTTCCTAAAATCCTCACACACTGACACTTGACACTTGACACTTGACAATGAATTCACAGAGAGCTTGGCCCATCGATCGACCATAAGGGCGAATTTAGCAGGCGACAGCGAGTGGATGAGCAAGTACGTGAGTCGAGTGGCCGGCATGTGGCAGCAGCAGGATAACAGCCTCATGACCCTACTGCCTGGCACCTCCCTGGCACTCCCCTCTGGCACTGGTAAGAGAAAAACTGTGTATGGATCTTTTTTTGGAGGGTGGGGGGGGTGGGAGTGGGGGGGTGGGAGGATGGGAGGAGGGGGTGTATAAGAGTAACGGAGGGTGGGTAGGAGGGAAGGAGGGAGGGAGGGAGGGGGATGAGGGAGAGAGAGAGAGGAGAGAGGGAGGGAGGGTAGGAGAGAGGAGGGAGGGAGGAGGAGGGAGGAGGAGGGAGAGGGAGGGAGAGGAAGAAGGAGGGAGTATGAAAAGAGGGAGAGGATGAAATAAAGAAAGAGGTTGAAGAAACTAAAGAGAAATTATGGGAGGAAAAGAAATAGAAAATGGGAAGGAAGGGAAAGTATAAGACAAAAAGTGAGGATAAATAATAAGAGACACAATAATTTTAGGAAATGAATGAAGAAGAGAGAATAGAAGAGTGAAGAAAGTAATGAAAGAGGGAGATGAAGAAGAGAGAGAAGAGAAATTGAAGAACGAAAGACGAAAGAGAGAACAGAAAGAAAGGGAGGAGTGAAATAAAAGAATAAGATAAAAAAGAATAAGAAAGACGAAGGGGAATAAAAGAGTAGAGATGAAAAGGCCCGGGTGATTAGGTACTTTTGATTTCTGGATAAGAGGAAGGAGAAGAAAGGAAGAGCGATAATGATATGTGACCGCTGGGGAGTCGCGGCAGTCGAGTTTAGAGATGGTGCGATGAGGGGATAAAAAATCTGTCTATCTGATCTGTATGTATATATATATTATATATATATATATATAATATACTATATTTATATATATATATATATATATATATATATATATATATATATATATTATATATATATATATTATGATATATAATATATATATATATATTATATATATACTATGCATTTATGTCTATACGTCTATATATGTATATACATGTATTTATATATATTTATCTATCTTTGCATATAATATATAATATATATATATATATATATATATATGCTATGTTGTATGTATGTATGGTATGTATTATGTATTATGTATATATTATGTATATTCTATATAT